GAAATTCAGCAGCGCCTGGTCAAATTACTTAGGCACACATAATAGAAATCCTACTGTTGGATGTAAAGTGTTCCTTGCAGGGCTGTGTGTGTTGAACTGCAGTCCATCCAAGGGAAGCTTATCAGGGGCCAGGACAGTAGGCTGTGGATTAGCTCATTACTGAAATGATCAACCACATCAGAGATACAAGTGTTCTCTGCGCAGCAACCCTGAAGTCTCAGCAAGTTTTTTCAGGTGCTCCTTGGCCAAGAGAAGTAACAGTCTGGTTAGCCATAGGATTCTGTTATCAAGTCCTTAGGTCCAAATAGTTTAATACATAATTATGTTCTAATAGGGGCCAGGAAATTAGTTCAGTGGTTCCTCTGCCTGCTTCTCAAGCGCAAGGTCCTGAGTTGGATCCCCAGTACCAAAAAAAAAAAAAAAAATTCAAATAACAGAACCTGTTCGAAGAAAACAGTACTCATAAATTGGAGGAGAAAATAATATTTTAGTTCATTCTCAAATAACCAGAACTATTACTAAGGGGATGTGTGTACCTGTTGGACACTGAACAAGTTCTCAGATTTTGGGATCAGATTGGACTCAGCACCCCTATTTACTCTCTTGCCTTGATTTTCAAGTAGTACCTGTGTGTAAGTAAGAGCTTATGATTACTTTTGTTTATACAGCCTTGCTTATAAGTCACTGAAAGTATAACCTCACAAAGATAGGTTATGAAGGAGATGTGCCACAACCTAATGCTAGAACTGTGAACCACTTGAATGTAGTAGCTCACAAGGTCCCTGGCACGCTAAGTATTGTTGGGGCTCAAAAGAAACTAATACCACACAGGGTGGCACCCTGGCTTGCTGAGCCAGTGAAGCAGTCTTGGAATCCAAGTCTCTCTGACCTCCACTTTCTCTTCCAATACGGGAGGGGTTCACTCTGCCTCGAGTTCCCTTACCTAACAGAAAATGTCTTCCAAAATAAACACAATAGTCTTAAGCCTCCTCCCTGGTAATCTCATCAAATAACCAGGAAGGACTAACAAACAAGGCCAGTAGCCTTGGCCCCTAGGAAACATTCATATATCGCCATGGATCTTCTCACAGGCTGCCTCTGGATCACTACATCATAATTACTGTATTTAGTGCTTAAACATGGATTCTGAAGTCACATATCATGGCTTTAGGCTCAGTTTTGCCATGATCTGGGGCCTTGGGCCAATTTAATTTCTCTGTGACCTAGACTGACACAGACCACCCATAGGGACAGACGACAAATTCTTGGGACCTGTTACTCATTAAAATCATGATTTGTATTTTCTTCCAGGGACTTTTAAAGTGGTTTTAGAACAAACCAAGCCAAACAAATAGCAGACTCTTCATTTGGTCCCAAAGATGCTCATTAGGTAAAGAAAAGCAGAACAAAGACTGACCTTCATTTTGTGTCTGCCTCTTTTATTATCTTAAAACTTCAGGTCAGATTCCTGCTCAGTTCTGCATATAGGTATCTCAATTTTAGGGAGTGTCAGTCTAAAAGCAAAACAAGATTGATTAGACCTAAATTTACATAACCTATTTTATGCCCCTTCAAGACCAAGGACGCCAAGATAAGAAATTTACAGGGACATCCAACCACCCATAAGCTCCCAGAAGTCTTCAGTGATTGCCCTATGCTTACCTTCACTTTGGATGCCAGCAGAGCCTCTACAGGCCTGAAACTGCACAAGCAGATAGTTCTCTCCTAGATACTGAGTCCCCCTCAAACAATAAGGATCTCTCCAGAGCCATCTTGCAAAACCAGAAAGGAGATGGCAATCAAGTGGATCCTGGCCCAGCTGCTGGTCATGATCTTGGGTTAGCAGGCCAGTCTGAAACTCTTCATCAGACCTGTGCCCCTCTCAGTTCCTCCAGCTGAGGTCACTTTTCTATTTTTTCTTCCTTTTTAACTCTGTCTAATAAATCTACCTATGCCTCACGCTGACTTATTGTGAACTGCTTTTGTGTGATGAGTTGGCAGGCCTGCCTCAGTAAGTTAATGTCTCTATCTCCTCTGGGGGGATCTCCTCAGACCCTGTCTAGAGACACTCTGCCTTGGTTTCTCATTCTTTAAAAGGAGGGTCATAATTTATACAGAGTAAACATAAGTGAGTTATATTCGTAGCCATCAGAATAGCTACTATCTGAGTTCTCTTGTCTTTTCTTTTGTACTGAGGATTGTAGATTGAAACCAGGGACTCGCACATGCTAGACTCTAGCTACAACCCCAGCCCTTTAAAAAAAATGTTTTTTGAGACAGGGTCTCACTATGTAGCTCAGGCTAGTCTCAGTGACCCCTCCTGCCTCAGCCTCCTGAGTGCTGGGATAACAGGTGTGTGCCACCACCCCTGGGTAAGACAGGGTCTTGATAAATTGCCCAGGTGGGTATCAGATGATAATGACAACCCTCCTACTTTGCTCTCTTCTCTCTCTCTCTCTCTCTCTCTCTCTCTCTCTCTCTTTCTCTTTGGTACTGGGGATCAACTCGGGTTCTTATGCTTGAGAGGCAGGCAGCAGTACCACTGGGGTAAATCCCTGGCCCACCTTGCTCTCTCTTGTTGCTGGGATTATAGGCATGTGCCACTACCCAGGCATTTTAGAGGCTATTGATTGAGAAGGATCATTTGGAGTGCCAGAAATGTTCTATGCCCTGATCTCAGAGTGTTTATATGGGTGTATTCCTACTTTCTTTTTGAAATAGGTTCTCAATGTGTTACCCAGGCTGGCCTTGAACTCCTGGGCTAGGTGATCCTCTTGCCTTAGCCTCCCAAGTAGCTGAGACTACCATCAAACACTTAAATTAGTATGCTTCATAAAGCTTACTGTATTTTATACCTTAATTTAAATGTATTTAGAAATAGCACCTAACTCCCAGTATTAATGTGTTCAGCTGGTTGCATAATCGCTCCTGACCAGTACCAGTATTAAGCTATTGACATAGTGGGTCTTTCAGGGGCAGGGCCTGTGTTTCCGGTAAGTAGTGAATGTTTTAGAGGACAGGCTTTTTGGCATCTTCTTGTTCCAGCAGTGAAGAGGAATCCATCTGGGCTCCAAGCTTCTCAAGTTCAGCCAGGGAGAGAAACTGATGATCAGCCAGGCTCTGGTGGGCTAGGAGGGCTTTCAATAGGTGGGAATTTGGGAGGGTTTGTGGAAAGAAGTCAGTCTTCCTGACACGGGTGCAGCCCGGGGAGAGGAAGGCGCCTTCAGCTTTGAAGGAAGGGAGTGGTTGTCCCCCTTAATCACACCTGGCACACACTAGACCATCAATACTGGGACCGCGGAAATGAATGAGCCCCGTCCGTGGCAGGCTTCTTTTTTTTTTTTTTTTTTTTTTTTTGTACCTGCGTCGAATTTGGCGCCTTGCGCTTGTGAGGTAGTGGGGCAGAACCACTGAGCTAAATCCCCAGCCCGGCTCTGATTTTAAATACAGAGACGAAATGTGACACATTGGGGAACTACTTGGATTTACTGAATTTGAGAGCCCAGGGCCTCCGACCCCAGGTCGCATTTCCTCGTGACTCCCCAGGGACACCGAGGTGACCAGGGCCACCAAGGCAGTGACAAGTTGGCTTAAAGCTGAGGCCTGTGGCCCAAGAGTTCTCTGGGCAAGCCAGGCTGCGTCACCGCAGGCTGGTGCGGAGAGCAGACAAGACTAGCGAGCAGCCGCCAGGGGTGCGCAGGAGGGAAGCTGGCTGCGCGGGGAGGACGAACTGTGGGCTCAGCGGGCTGCTTGTAGGCGCGAACCCCGGGCCCCGGCAGGC